AAAAAAAAAAAAAAAAAAAAAGATATTCAAGAATAACATGTAATGTATTTAAATTGAAAATGTCCATGGCTTTTGACCCAGTATTTCTACCTCTAGGAATTTATCCTACAGAAACAAACTCACAAGTGTGCAAGAGAAATGCTGTATAGTTGGGATTATTAAAGACCTGGAAATACACCAGTGGGGATGACAGATGTATATGTGGCTGTTGTTACATGCTGTCAAGACGATTCCAACTCACAGCGACCCTGTATAGGGTTTATGAACGTGGCTGGTGGGTTTGAACAGCCGACCTTGTGGCTGGCAGTCCAGTTCTTATCCTACAGCATCACCCAGGGCTCAGATGCATACAATGTGCTCCATATAGTGCTTACAAAAGAGCAAGGACACTATATGGACTGATAGATACAAAAAGATGTCCTTGTTTTCTAAAGCTGGATCTATTTTCCATACAAATCTATATCTAAATCTATATATTCTCTCCTAAAAATTACATTGATACATAAGCTGTCTGTGAGGGAACAGAAAAGGAGTCTGAGTGGTCATGAAGTGGATGCCTGCGGTCTTGGGAGAGAGAGCCAATGCAATTTCAAGTGGATAGTCACTTTCTTGTATATTTCTATAATGTATGAGTTTGACATCATTTTACATTACTCCTAAAATAAGAAGGGACCCTGTTGGTGCTGTAGGATAAGCACTGGACTGCCAATCACAAGGTAAGTCAAGTCATTCAAACCCATCAGTTGCTCTGCTCCTATAAAAATTCACAGCCTCAGAAACCCTACGCAGAATTGTTATGCATCCGAGTCGACTCAAAGGCCATGCATTTCTGTAATAATAGAAAGCATAAAGAAGCATAAAAATTGTTTAATGTTAACGAGCATAACATCCCCTTCTCAGGCAAAGTTTTAGAGTTGTATGATGGGAAACACTGATCCCCACAACTCAAAATAATCTTACAAAGAACGTAAAACACAGAATGACTTGTTTCTCTTACTCCTTTCTATTTTTAAGATACATCCAATTATTAGATTTTACCCATGATGTTGAAGTCCTGGTGTGGCACTGTGAGTTAATGTGCTGGACTGCAAAGTCAGCTTGAACCACAAAGTTGGCGGTTCAAGTTCAACCAGCTGCTCCTCGGAAACACTATACAGGGTCGCTATGGTTTGGAACCAACTCGACGGCACTCAACAACAACCCATGATGTTATATGCACTGCTCACTCCGAGACAAATACCTATCATCAGCTGGGATACAGAAATACGAGAGTAGTATATATAATAATGAAGACCTGAGTGCTAAGAGACCAGTAACAGTACTCATAATACATTTGTGAATAGGGAGAGGGCTGCTGGTGTTTCCAGGTCTTATTTACATGTAGTCTTACTCAGTGAGTAGATATGACTGTCTTAAAAAGCGCCCTGTATTTATCCCTTCTGTGAACAATTTGCAGCTTATTGCAATTTAATCAAATTTTTAATTTATGATGGGCCATTATAAATAGTGTGTTGTTGTTGTTAAGTGCTGTGGAGTCGGTTCCAATCCATAGCGAACCTGTATAGTATTTCCAAGGAGCAGCTGGTGGGTTTAAGCTGCTGACCTCGTGGTTCGCAGTCCAGTGCTGATCCTACAGAGCCACACCAGGAGTTCATAAAAAGTGTAGGCATCAGAAAAGTCTGACTATAATCAAAGTCTTTTTGAATTCCCCAATTTATATTGAGAAACAAATATGTAAGAAAATAAAACAGAGCAAACAGAAAAACTGTCCACCTTTGGCTGAGAAGAGGAGAAAAGATCAAGAGTGGGGATGGAGGGAAAGTTCTGGAATAAACTCGTACCTTATCACAGCACTCGACAGCTTTGGTGTACTCTCTAAGCTTCAGGTAGCACATGGCCAAGTTCAGGAAGGCAGCGAGCAGGAATGATTCCGAAGCTTTGGATTCTTTTTCTGATAGCCCATACTCCATCTCCAGCCAGGACACTATCTTTCCATACTGAATCACTGCCTGCATGTACTTGCCTCCCTAGGAGAAAAACCGGAACAATCATTTACTGTACTACGCTCGGTAGGGGAACAAAAGAGCCACACACACACCCACAAAAAACCAAGCCCTCGAAATGAAAGAGTCCCACTTCTTAGCTAGGGTGGGTGCTTGATCATTTCTTTCTGTTCTCAGAAGATGGCCATTTCCCATTCTTCTTTTTTATTGTGACTGGGGTGAAGATGTACAGAGCAGATCATCAGTTTTACATCCAACATTTTATACACGTTTTGTTTCATCTTGTGCCCATTCTTTTGTGAAGTCCCGCTGACCTACAAGCTGGGCCAGTCTGCACAATACACCAGGCTATTTGCCAGCATTTATTATTGCGTCCTTCTCAACAGGGGACAGTTCTTTCAGCAGGACGGCATCAAGGTTTGGGGGGCTACATTTATTATCCTTTCAAAAGAAAGGTAAGCAGTTTACTTGAAGAAGTTACTTTTATTCGAATGGTGATTGATGGATAATTCTCTTTTTACCTGGCATTCAACGCTGCATTGCTATTGTTGTTAAGTGACAGTTGAGGTGGTTTCAACTCTTAAAAGACCCAACATAGGGTTTTTGAAGAGTGGTTGGTGGGTTTGAACTGATGACCTTGTGGTTAGTTGTCCAGTACTTATTTTACAGAACCACACCGGCACCCCCCCAACACTGTGTAAGAGAGAATATGGAGAATATGTTCTCTCTCTCAACATTACATGGTAGAGAGTATAGTCTGGAAAGTGCCAGTTCCCTCCCAAAAATAAAACAGGTTTACTGATCAGAAAGAAACTTGAGAAACCCTAGACTATAGCCCTCGACAACTTTCAGGTCTGGAGTGGAACTCACCCTCATGGCCCAATTTTCAAACAAACAGTAGGTAGGTTTAGAGGGGGAACAACACTAGTAGGTGTGCTCACCATGAAACGGTCAATTATTCAAGATCAAAGGGGGAACATTTTCCTAAGGACAAAGTTGAGAAGGGATGGAAAGCAGGGTGGAATGGCAGTAAAAACCACAGGGAGGAAGTGAGAAAACTGTGGCAACATGGAGTGGATTGCGATCACTGAGATGAAACAAAATGTATGATTTCTTGAAGGTAAAACTGATGATCTCTGTAAATCTTCACTCAATTCACAATAAAAAGTTAAAAAAAAAAAAAAAACTCCCTTTATACGGTTGAGTATTTTGAAATATCATTCATTCATTCATTCGTTCATCTATCTATCTAATTTGATACCATTTTATTTAGATATTAACTTCCAATGAGCAAAAGCCCTTGTTTTGCAATATCCCTACTCCTGATGTACTAAATCAGTAGTTCTCAAATAGGGGTGACTTTTTTTCTCCACGGAACATGTGGCAACATTTGGAGATACTTTGGATTGTCATAATTTGGGAGTGAGCGTGTGCCACTGGCATCACGTGGATGTTGTGGTTAGGTTCTGTTACAAACCAAGGTAACCCCAGGGCCAACAGGACAAAATACCGCTCCATCTCGCACCGTCCTATCTTTTCTATGTTTGAGCTTTTTCTTGTAGCTACTGTGTTGATACATCTTAGGGCGGTCTTCCTCTTCACTGGTCCTTTACTTTATCAAGCATGATGTCCCCTAGGGCCTAGTCCCTCCTGATGACACGTCCAAAGTAAATGCAATGAAATCTTGTCATCCTTACTTCTAAGGAGATTTCTGGCTGTACTTTTTCCACGACCAACTTGTTCATTCTTCTGGTAGCCCATGGTATATTCAATATTCCTCACCAATACCATAATTCAAAGGCATCAAGTCTTTTTCCTTATTCAACCTCCAACATGTACATTGCTGTTGTTGTTGTTAAGTGCCATCGAGTTGGTGCCAACTCATAGTGACCCTGTATAGGATTTCCAAGGAGCAACTGATGGGTTTGAACTGCTGACCTTGTGGTTGCAATCCAGTACTTATCCTATATAGCACCATACCAGGACTCCAACAACATCTACATTAGGTGATTGAAAATACCACGCTTGAATCAGATCAGGGAACCTTAATCCTCACTTAAGCAAAGTGACATCTTTGCTTTGTTAATGCTTTAAAGAGGTCCAATGCAAAATGCCATTTGAGTTCCTGACTGCTGATTTCATAGGTGTTGATTATAGATCTAACGAAAATAAAATGCTTGATAACTTCAATCTCTTCTCCTTTTATCATGATGTTGCTTATTGGTCCAATTAGTGATGATTTTTGTTTCTTTATGCTGAGGTGTAATTCATACAGATAGCTGTAGTCTTTGATCTTCAAGTGCTTACTACTTTAAGTAAGAACTTAAGTCCTCTTCGCTTCCATCCTTCTAGTCCTCTTCGCTTCCATCCGCTTGCTATGTTGGAATGACTGCCTGTTGGTCTGTGTGCAGATTCTGCCTGAGCACAACTACATGTTCTGGAATTCCCATTCTTCACAATGAGATCCATAGTTTGTTGCAATCCACACAGTCAGACAAGTGGACAGAGGCTAAGAATGCTGCTAAACATCCTACAATGCACAGGATACCCTACAACTCAGAATTAGCCAGCCTCAAACATCAACAGTGTGAAGGTTGAGCAACCCTAGACCAAAAAAATGAAGGAAAGAGAAAAAAGGCAAGGTGAACTCTGTTCTTAAGATGTTTTTTAAACCTAAACTAGATGATTTGTTTTTCAATCTCATTACTGCTATCTTAGGAGCCTTGGTAGTATAGTGGGCCACGAGTTAGTTTGCTAACCTCAAGTCAACAGTGCAAATCTACCAGCTGCTCTGTGGGAGAAAGATGAGGCTTTCTGCTTTGGTAAAGATTTACAGCTTCAGAAACCCTCTACAGGGAGTCAGAACCACCTCCATGGCACAGTACCAACACCACCGAGGTATCTTGGTTCAACAAGGATTGTCCAAACATGGCAAGCGTGGCTGTCTGAAAAGGGTTCAGTGGTTCTTTTAGGGGTTTTAGGGAGTACTGGTGTGGCTCTGCAGGATAACACTTGACCACAAGGTCGGTTTGAACTACAAGGTTGGCAGTTCAAACTCACCAGTCACTCCTTGGAAACCCTATATACAATGGCTATGCGTTGGAACTGACTCGACAGCACTAAACAACAAAGAGGTAAGAACCCACCACTTGTCTGTCAGTTTGTCATACTGTGGAGGCTGACATGCTACTGTGATGCCGGATGCTATGCCATGGGTTATTTTGAATACCAGCAGGGTCTCTCATAGTGGGCAGGTTTCAACTGAGCTTCCAGACTAAGATGGTCGTGGGGGTGTGCTCTGGAGTAAGTTCTGACTCATGCAACCCCATACATGGTTTCAAGGCTATAAATCTTTACAGGAGCAAAAACCTTCATCTTTCTCCAGCACAGTGGCTGGTAGATTCAAACTGCTGACTTTGCAGTTAGCAGCCCAACTTGTAATCTACTACGCTAATAGGGCGCCTTTCCAGACTCATCATAGGCCAGGAAGAAAGAGAAACAGAAAATGGTTAGCCACTGAAACCTCATGAATAGCAGCAGAACATGACCAGATATAGCGCTGGAAGACAAGCCCTTCAGGTTGGAAGGCACTCAATTATGACTGGGGAAGAGCTGTAGTCTCCTCAAAGTAGAGTTGATCATAATGATGGGGAAGGAGCAAAGTTTTCAGGGCCTTCATTTGCTGATGAGACACAAATCAAAATAAAGGCAAACAGTTGCAAAATCCATGAATAATCAGAACTTGGAACGCACACAGTATGAAACCAGGAAAATTGGAAGTTGTCAAAAATGAAATGGAACACATAAAGATCAATATCCTAGGCAATAGTGAGCTGAAATCTACTACTACTGACCATTTAGAATCTGACAATCATAGGCTTTACTATGTCGGCAACAACAAACTCAATGACATCGCACTCATCGTCAAAAAAAACATATCAAGATCTGTCATGTACGTTGTCTATGACAGGGTACTTATCCATATGCCTACAAGGAAGGCCAGTTAATATCCCTATTATTCAAATTATGCACCAACCACTAAAACCAGGGATGATTAATTTGAAGAATTCTATCAACTTCTTCAGTCTGAAATGAATCAAATATGTAATCAAAATGTATTAATAATTACTGGTGATTGGAATGCAAAGGTTGCAAACAAAGAGGAAGCATCAGTAGTTGGAAAATGTGACCTTGGTGATAGAAATGATGAAGGAGATCTCATGATAAAATTTTGCAAGACCAATGACTTCTTCATTGCAAATACCCTTTTAAAACAACATAAAATATGATTATACACATAGACCTCACCAGATGGAGTACACAGAAATCAAATTAACTACATCTGTGGGAAAAGACTGGAAAAGCTCTGTATCATCAGC